AAATTTTCTGAAAAATTGGGGATCAGCGAAAAGAGTTTTTTAAAAAAATATATATATATACAGTATATTATATTATGATATATAAGGTAACTAATTAAAGTTTGTTTATAGTTTTTTACTGATGTATATCTATTGGTCAATTATTATAAAAGAAACTTTATACTAATAAAAATTCAAGATCAAACTGAGATAAGCAAAATTTTTAAGAAAAAAATCAAGAAAAAACATTATTAAAGTTCAACAATAATATCAAAAAAGTAAATACTATATATTAATAATAAGTCTTTTATTATAATAACTTTATAATATTTTTCTATATATAAACAAATAGTAAAACTTTTGGTTTTTCTTCTTTTTGAAAATTTTTATCATTGATAAGAAATATATTTTTTGACTTTTTGAATACAGAAGTTAAGTTTTTATTTGAATATAAGTATTAGTAAGTAGAAAAAAAGTTAGCATAATTTTGGGTTTTCTTTAAGTTGTGTTAAAAAAGTAATAAGACTTTATTAATAGAGAAGTATAAAACTTCATATGAAGATAAATAGAAAAATATTATAAATAACTATAATAAAAATTATTTATTATTAAAAACTAGTGAAACCCTGTCATCGAGTTTTTATTAATTCATTAATACAAGCTTATATATATAAATTTAATTGTGAGTCTATACATTTATGAAAGGATAAAACACTATTACTCAGTATTCTATTACTAGAAACTCTGTGACTTGCTACAGTTTATATTGGTAGACCCTAGTATGTTATGACTTCATTAGCACTACCTTTTTTTGTTCTGAGTTGCTGCTATGTGAGGGGTCTCGAGAAATTATTATTTATAGTTATTCCACAAAAAAATTCTTTTTCTTTTTAAAAATTGCCTATTTTAGTCATACCAGTCTCCTGTGGTTATATCTTTTATTGTAGTTTCTTTTCCATTGGGTGGGATGCATATTGTTGTATAGTTTGTTGTTTTGAAACTGATGCCCTGTACTTTGAGCATGTTGAGGATATTGTTTGAGATTTTGTCTTTTCTTTATCTAGAACGGGTATTTGTCTTCTAGAATTGGTTTGTTTGACCAATATTGATTTTGAAGTTGTTGTAACCTGATCCATGTCATTGCTATTGATTCTCTTGAATCAATTGTTGCGTGCCTAGGCGATTAATTGGAGATTCGAGACCCTGTCTCTTCTTTGAATCCTGGTTTGAAGAGCCTACCTATATTCCATGAACGTCTAAATATCACAAATCGCATAACTTCAATAATTAACAAGATAAGAAAGATATATGCCGATAGGGGTGACATCAAAGTTTTTGCCACAGTGGGAAGAGGCAAAGCCTCGAGACTAGGTCTCATCGCTTCTATTTCTCCTATTGGAATTTGAAGGTGTAATTCGATCAATAATTTTCTGGCTGTGCAAAGTAAGGAGTCGTATTTTGAGGTATAGACTCTGATACGTTGGGTTTTACCGATGTATCTAGCATATTATCTTTGTTAATATCGCTAATGCTAGTTCCTTCACTTATCTTAGGACTAATCTCGGCATTAATTTTTGGTAGTTTAGTAATCTCATCATCGGTATGGGTCGATATACCGGTATCGATTTTTTCAGGAACCAGAGATGAGTCAAGAACTCGAACCTCAGCCTCCTCGGCACTATGTGATATCTGGTCTATATTTTTTTTTGCATACTAGATACTGACTGAGATTTTTACTAGGTGAGGCTATGCCTCGAATCTCTGATTCCTCACTAGGCATATAAGTGTCATTGCTTTGCAATACTGCAGATATATTATTTGACTTCGTTATATTTTTTTTCGTCACCCCAGTAATCACAGGCTCTGATCTACATCCAATTTTAGACGTTCCAGCTCACTAACCTTTGAGATCAATTCGTTTCTCACCTGTTCCAATTCAGCTATTTTGGACTTAAAAGACTGGTTTTCAGAATCTTTGTTTGCTAAGTTTTCATGTGCTGATGCCAATTTACCTTCCAATATCTTAATCATAGACTGGAGTGATTTTATCTCTTTTAATTAGGCATCATACTTGGCTTTGTACTCAGCATGGGATATCTGTGATCTCGCAATCTGGGATATAAGGCTAGTATTTTCGCTTTGTAGACGCCTGCCTACATCAATAACTTGTAAAGCATGGGTGCGTATTTTCTGAATCTCGGTACTATTACGTGATAAATCCCGGTTCCTGATCAAACTTCTTAGCTTGTTTCAAGTATTTCTCCTGTAACCTTTCACTAAGTTCGATGATCTCGGCTTTGGATTCGAGAGCAGTATATAATTTCTCTTCGAGCTCTTGCTCATATATGCTACCGAGACGATGTCCTTTGTTAATATTTCGCAGTGTATGTATATCGGCCATATATTTCTTGACAAAATCTGATATATGGGGTAATAAATAATAGAGGTATGGAAAATGGGGTATTTTCTTATAGAGCAATACACAGTATATTATGTGTACTATCAATACTCTACGTAGGTGCGAAATATGTGTATCATCAATACTATACATAGGCGCAAAATATGCGTACTATCGAAACTATAAATATTGGTATCAGTAGTATGGATAGTATAAATATCAGTATCAGTAGTATAGGTATTATAAATATTTTTTATATAATAATTTGTATCAATATTATTGATAATACAAAGATATCATTATGATCAATCCTACACATAGAAGACGTATGCGTTCTAATGCACCAAAATAATCTTCTACGGATCATGATAACATTATGCAATATCGTAATATGAAACCTAATCCTTTAAAGGACTTAAGTAGAAAATATCGTATATCGAATACTCGTTTATATCAGATATGGAGGGGGGGGGAAGAATTTGAAAGGATTGAATGGCAATGTTTTGAAGAACCTACATCTGGAAGAGACTTCATCTCGAGTCAAAGTCTCACCCACTTCTCTTCCTGTCAAAGAGATAAAAAAGAGGAGCTCAAAATCTAAATCTGTTTGCATATCTACTCCGATACCTAATAGTAACCCGATATTAGTTAATCCCGACATCTCTGCAGAAAAAATAAGAAATGAGAATCTAGATATACTATATGAAAAAGATGCCAAGAGAGATGAGAAGAATAAAGCAAATATGAATCAACTATTAGTTACTTAGCCGGAGACAAGCTCACACTAACCTGTCTTCAGGAATAGAACTAAGTAAATTTTTATATCGTATTTGTAACTTCTCACAGAGATCATTAATTACGGCTTTGGAGTCTAGAGCAATATAAAGTTTTTTTTCTAATTCCTCATAGCTCATGGTTTTTTTTTTAATACCTTGATTTCAAAACCGTCATCGCCATCACCATTATTATCACCATCTATCCCCAGCAAGATTTGTCCTGGTATTGAGGTATTGGTATCTTGAGCTACGATTGTACAGTTCACTTCTAATTTATTTTTAACTTTGTGCATAGTTACCGGAATAATGAAATCCTCTCCATTAAAAGGGATTTTTAACTCATTTTTATCCCAGTCCACTGCGCATCTATATTTCTTTAAAAGCTGATTAGAAAATATTAGCATCGGCTTGTGGTAATCAACAACCACAAAATCTTCATGAATAGTGAGTCCTGGTGCTAAAGTAATTAGCCAATTGCGGACAATACCAATGGATTCAATAGGGACAGTAGCGATACCACTAAGGTCATGTTTTTCAGATTTATCAATTTTAACCCTAACGCGATCAACAATGTTTTTTGTTATAATTGGAGGCTCAGCTCCGGAGTCAAGAGTCATGGCTGGAATCTTTAGGCGCCAGATTTTGCACTTTACAGTTGCAACGCTCGTTTTTGGTTCTTTTTTCTGAACAAAATCGATTTCCATAGGGTCATCTATTGTTTCCTCCTCATCCGACTCAGTTATTCCTGGAACTGGTTCTCGGTGATCTATAAAGTCAGGTTTTGCAATAGATAAATTCATATTATTAATATTGTTTTTAATTGTTTCTATAACCTCTGGATTGTCAAACATAGCTAGAATAATTTTTCGAATTTGTAAGTCAATAATCGTACCTGATTTCTTTTGTGTTTTTTGTGAAGTACGTTTCTTTAGATTAGACTGCTTTTTAGATGATGATTTATCTAATTTACCCTTTTGCTTTACTTGTTTTTTTTTTTTTTTTTTTGCATTAGAAATATGTATATTATAGCTGTGATCAGATTCAGCCTCGGATTCTTCAGAGCCTGAGTGTGTCCCGGATTCTGATCCAGGATCGGGATCATGCCTAGTTCAATTACAATTTGAGCAACGATGTTTGGATGATTTCTTAATGGCGTTAACCTCTTTTGCTAATTTTACTAAATTTAATGATAAATTTGACATATCTTTTGTAATTTCATCTATGTCATCATTGCTTGGTATATGTGCCAGCTTTACAACCGAAGAGTTATTTTTTCCCTTGTCGGAGGCAGTTGCCTTATGGCTAGAAAGGTAATTAGAAATTTCCTTCATTACGTCCGTAAGATTCTGAAAAAAGGATGGGTTGAAATCTATATTATTTAAGTATAAATCTTTATCAGAACGTATTTTGTTAGACTCGCTCTTTTGATTCTCCAATGAATCAACTGCTGCTTGAATTCTTCTATCTATTTCTTCAGAGGTAATTAAAGTTGAAGCAGTATTTGACTGTAGTCCACAAACTGTTGAAACTTGAGGGATTTGATCTGGAATTGAACCCCCATAACTAGGTGAAGGTAAGCGTTCAAGCCACATATTTTTAAGTGAAGAAAAAGAAAGCATTAATACCTCCGGGGTTATCACCTCTCATCCAAGTATAAAGTTCACCTGATAAATGTCCTTTGAGAAGTCCTAAAATATTTCCATCATTATCTGCAACCCCAATAAAAGAGGCCGAATTCTGGTTTCGTAAGTTTCTGGAGTATCAAAAGGTAAAAATTTTTCTTGAGCCAATCTTTGAGTAGCGACTTGTTGTGTTCCAACCATTTCTGTTTGATATTTGTGTCGTAATCAAACAATAAAACGAGCTGGTGTATCAATATTATTGCCAGCATGTTGAGCAGGTATATCTGTACATTTTCCACTCATTTTGCTTTTCAAAATTTCTGCTCTAAGTGCATCATTAAAGGCGGCTGCAGTAATTGATGGAAACGTTAATATTTTTATTAATACCTTGGCACCATTCATCTGGTGGAATTTGACCACTATAATTTTTAATATCCGCAAGCAATGGTGAAATACTAGTTAAGTCACCTGAAACGGTTGCCATATTTAATGGATTATTCTGTAACGCAAAAATTTGTCCACGTAAATTTAAAATTAATTGCCGGGCACCATGGGTTTTATTTTTCCATTTCTCGTACCTTGAAACAACACGGTCATACCAAAATTGTAAGAAGACTTTATCGTCATTGCGCTGTTGCAACTCCTGTTTTAGGCGATGGATAGATAACTTATAAATAATTTGAGACCACCACGTTTGAGTTTGAAACGTTCCTCCCATGCCAAGCTGGCATTAGGCCATAAACGTCCTCGCATGTCATATTTTCGTTGTAATTCTCTACCATGCCTCTGACATCTCTGAAGTTTAAAATTAAGTACAAAATTATCAATAGAACATTAACACGTTTGCATCCCATTTTCTATACTCTGAGCAATCCCCCACCAGCGACGGCGCTCTTCCTGTTCATTATTATAAGCTGTGGTCATCAAAGTAAGATCATTCTGAGAATTATCACACTCTTGAGTAAGTCGGTTAACTTGATTTCGTAAGTTATTCCGTTCTTGGGTAATTTGATTGACTTGGTTCTGTAAGTTATATCATTCTTGGGTAATTTGATTGACTTGATTCTGCAAATTATTTTTGAGTAAGCTGATTAACTTGATTTTGCAAAGCGATATTCCGTTGTCTATAGCCATTAATATCCTGCTGTAATTGTACTATTTGAGTATCACGATCATCTCGTTGATTTGCAATATCATCTAAATCCTGATCTATTCTTTGGTAATTAACTCGAATAGTATTTAGAGGGCCATGAATACCTTGTATAATATTGGTAGAATCAATTAATGGTGTACAACACCTCTAAGATGATTTTCAAGTCGATCTAACCCCTAAAAACGTTTATAAAAGGACCTATATGTGCCATATCTGTATATTTTTTTACAGCGTAATATATAAGATTATGAGTAATCCTACTATTATTATTAATGCCAATGAGGAGTTGCAAATTGTCCTACGTTTTATTTACTAAACATACCTGGATTCAATCCAAATGCTAAGAAATTGCAGAAAGCATGCAGGGAAGAATGTTATAACCACTTCCAATTAAAGATATAGCAAAGTGGTTGGAGAATAAATATGACTATCAAATATATCTTACCCCACAAAAATGCAAGGCTAAAGCAAGCTTCCAGAAGATCAAGATTCCCAACAAAGTTCATCAGTACGATATATTAATTAATGGTCGTGATAATCAAGATGGTATAAGGATATTTGTTTGTAGTATACTAGTAATTGACGTGGCAACTCGGTTCAAGGCTGGGCGTTCATTAACATCAAGAAATAATTTAGAAGTTTGAAATGCGATCAAAGAAATACAGTATATGAAGATCCTGCCAATCCCCTTGCCTGGCCAACATTGTTGATGATTGATGATGATGCAAGTTTTCGTGGATCATTCTCTCAAAGAATGGAACAATATAATGTTGTTATAAGAGTTGTTGATACTTATTGTTTCAAAAGTTTGGCATTCATTAAAGTACTTAAAAAAAGAATTAGAAAAGTTAATATATAAGATCCAATATGCTATCGAGGGGCGATTAACTGATGGAGAGAGATCAAAGTTATGGGATAAAGCTCTTCGAAAATTCCTTAATTATATGAATAATAGTAGGACTCTCCTTATTGGTATGACACCAGCTCACGCAATGACATTGAAAGAAGTTATATCCAAGCCTTCCATTAAACCCAAAAGAGCACTTGGTAAAGATAAAATAAAGTTAAAAAGGGTACAACAGTTAGGTATTTATTAAAACCTGGCGAGATAGAAGGTGATCATAGGCATAGGGCAACCGATCCATACTGGTCATTGCGGGTTTATAAAATTGAAAAAGTTATTGTCGGTGAGAATCCACCACAACCAGTCTTATATTATCTCGAGGGTAAGCCTATCGAATCTACTGCTCATTTGATGGGACGGAATCCAAAAAGGCCATTCAAGCGAGAAGAACTTCAGGTTATCAAGAATCCAGAAAAAATACAATATCCGCCAGATGAATTTATGCGAAAATATCATACTGGATTTATTAACTTCATTCGAGTTTTTAATAGCAAGTTAGCCAGGGCTCATGAATACGTTAGCAAGCGTAATGGAGAATGTCTTGGAAGAAGTGGACAAATCAATGGCCTCGATGTCTTTCTCTGGTCTTGTGGGAAGCATCAGTGGGAATATCCATTAAAATTAATTGTGGAGAAGTTCGAGTGGTGTCCTCTTTGCTTTCATAGGAAGGGAGAAAGATCTAGTCGATATATTTTTGAGGATTTGTTAGATAAGAAATTTCCATCTTGTAAACCGTCATTTTTGAATGGAATGCAATTAGATGGGTATAACGAAGAGTTAAAATTAGCATTCGAATTCCAGGGGTCTCAACATTTTTCTGAGAATCCAATGTTCCATAAGCAAGGCAGGATAGACTTGAACAACCAACAGATGCGTGATCAAAAAAAGCGGGATATATGCAAAGAGCGAGGTATGGATCTCATTTCAATACCATATACATGTGATCTATTTCCCTATATAAAAAGCAAATTACAAGAGAGAGGTTATTTATCATATAAAAAATAAATATTACTTGGCTTAATCGAGATGAAAGAAGAAAAAATGACCATATTTGTATACAATATTGACGAGTCATCTAAAAAATCCTCAGAACGAATGAAAGGCAACAAATTTAGTCCAGATGCCCCATTCAGATTGCTGGTATGTGGAGGGTCCAATAGCGGAAAAACCAATATGGTAATCAATCTTATGCTAGGCAATAAATTACAACGATTGTTTAAAGGTAAAAAAGGAAATCGTTATATCAAAAACGATGACCTTGTATTGATAGGTAAACATTTTGAGCCGAAATGGAAACTTGTACGAAATAGCTATCAGATCTTTGCAAATGCTCCAAAATCATATCGAGAAGATATTACATTTAAATGGATATCACCAGATAAGATTCCAGATATAAATAAATTCTCTCCAGAACGAAGCACAGTTGTTGTTTTTGAGGATCTATGTGCCGAACCAAAGAAAGTGCAAGAACGAATTATTCCTTACTTCATTAGTGGCCGGCACCAAAATGTCTCCCCTATATACGTGAGCCAAAAATATATACAAACACCTAAAATTATTCGTGAAAATATCTCACATTTATGCCTATTTCGGGGCTCAGGTAGTAGAGATGATATTAGTAGAATCGTACGTCAATACACAGATAATCCGAAAAAAGCATCCAAGATAATTGATAAACATTTACGGGATCGAAATTTTGTAGTCTTTGATTTTACTAAGGCCATCAATAATACTCTAGCGGTTAGATTGGGATGGGACACCACACTGAAATTAGATGAATAAAACGAGGTATATTTATTTATTGGATAACATGCCTTTATTTTTTTTCTCATTACTTATTAACGCATTAATATAAATACATCCCACTCGCCACTTCTTATATAATTAAGAAGCTGTCCGTATCTAGCCGTGATTGAAATTAAGATGAATGTATAATAATATTAAGTCTGATCTATTATCTATACTAGGGATTTTTGCGTTCCATAAAATAGGTTAATATTGAAAAATCATAAAAAAATAGCAATAAATAAAATTAAAAGTATTAGCCCTTAAGAATACTTTAGGGGATTTATTTCAAATAGAAATATATATAAATAAGTTATATAATAAGTAGATATGTATGTATTGCAAGACTATACCTTATTAACTTGTCGCATTTCTTCTCGAACCGTCCATAGTAATTGATAATGTAATGCCAATTCTGAAGCACAGAGACCATCGGGCTTATACATATATTCAATCCATTTTTGAGATATAAGATTTATAGCTCGAATTTTCTTACTAATCTCTCTTGCACATTTAACTCTTCTGATGACATTCTGCATCCATAATTCATAATTATGTAATGTATATTCGTTATCATAATTATATTCTGAAGTAGGTTTTTGATTAATTTCCATATAATCTTTATAGCTTATATCACAAAAGGTATTTCCTGTACAATGGGAAGCCCAATGTCTCTCCATTCCTATGTGATTATAATTACCTATATGTTTGGTTCGTTTTCCTGCATATACTAATTGATTACAAGAGAAACAGATAGCAATACCAATTCCAGGTGCATAACTCGTATAAAATCCACTATCATTCCAATATCGTATTAATTTTCTAGCTTCAATATATTTTTTGCTATTATAAGGTAATAGATCATTTTCTCTGAAATACTGTAAGCGAGACCAAATCCGTTTCATCCACTCACTAGGAGTTTCATCTGCACGAACTTGAGGCATCTTACAATATTAATACCATTCTTCATCGGTACAATTGGTTCCACGTAATTCACTTAAGCTAACCATTTTATGACTTATTTGTAATTATATTGTATTTAAGTATTTAGACGTATTTGATTTGATAAGTATATACTCTAGAATAATATGATTCCATTTTAGTGCATACTTGATTCTTGAAGCATATCTATAAGAGTGTCATATTCATAAATGTTATTTGTAATGAAAATCGAAGAGATTCATAAATAGATATTAAGGTATAATTATATGAAATAGATATAACAAACCATTTCAAATACGAATGATAACATATACATAATCATTATGCATAGCATGAGCAAGGCTCTATATACAATTTATTTTAATCAACTTATAATACAGAATATGTAATTCATTTTTAGATGATTTATTTAATTATATAAACAATACATGCTAACTCTGCTAATATAACGAGCAACAGTTTCAAATAAAATCACGTGACATCCCGACCATTGGTCAGGAACTTGCCGAACACTTCTTGGCAAAAACCGTTTCCCAGGGAAACGATCAGAAAAAAATCACGACTATACATAAGTACATTATCAACTTCCTATACCCATAATAAATGATTGATATATTTATAACCAATAAAACTTTATTTTCGCTATAACTCGTCAGGAAACATTATTTCCTATATTGCGGGTTCGAGGTCTTCAATACATGATCATAGTCTATAGATAAAATAGTTACGATAAATACACTTGCCGAGATGACTCCACCTATGGTTTTCTCTCTGAGATACATACATGTATATATTCGTATGTTTTCCAGCTCAATAAATATGAGTGAGAGAGAGAGAGAATCTTTTTTAGTCCCTTAAAGCTGATTTCATGACAAACTCGCATCAGTAGACGCGTTGAGTAATCTCGTTGAAAATCACGTGATATTTTGAGTAAGTCTGATTATTATAGATTTTGCGTGGTCTCAAGAGTCAATTAAGGATCTTGCTCAACGGATTCACGTAAAAAAAAGACAATTGATATAAAAGATCACTTTATTATGCGATTGTATGAACAGTCGTTGTTTTATTGATGATAAAATCAGGCAGACATTACTAATATAACCTTAATGAAGTAACATCTTTACTTGCGGAGAATCTGGAAGGTTGCGCACAAAGGACATCTGTGCAGGTGGCGTGAATTGACTACTCCGATATTTGAAGTTCTTCGCAATCTTTTCAACACATTCCTGAGTAAATGAAATTTGTGAGAAAATGACTCATCATAAGCTCAAAGAAATATATAATACCTCTAAAGCCACAAAGTGGCTGATTGCGAACTCTGCTAGTGGGATCGTAGCCTTGTCGACCACTAGTTTGGTGGTGAGAAATAGCCAGGAGCGATACAACCCATCGTACTTCAGATCCATAAAGGATGATTCCATTGAATCACCTGGTTATTGTAGAAGTACGTTATAAAAATCATAAACACCCTTGTAATTTATTGCAAGCATACATACATACCCATGTTTAGAAACATGACAGATTCACCTGGACCACCCTTACTTTGTAATTGCTGCTGATTAATTGATTTTCGAACTTTTAAATGAACTTTCAATCTACGTATCCTTTTTCCGTTGTAATGGTGTGCAACCTAGTGGCTTAAACTCTGAATTTAAGATTGATACATCATTCACTATACAAGAAAGGTCCGGTCTCGTCTTTGAGCCTGTATTGGCACGATTTAGTCTAAGTTCATATTCTTTTTCGGATCCACGAAACGAACGAATAATTGGATAAATGAACATATCACAGTGCTCTTCCTCAGACAACTTCGATGGAGCAACCTCTGGAATACCATAATATCTGTAATACGTTAAAAGAATTTATGTGTATAAGTCACAAATTCATGGATGATAAATAACATATAGAACGGGTAAACTTACAGGTTGTTAAACATGAGTGCAATCATTCTATTCAACTCCGCACTTCCACAATCCATGAAAACGTCTTCGCCAACCAACTGTCTACTAGCTGTATCACGAAGAGAAGATGAAATTTCCGGTGGAAGTGGTGGTTCGCTTATAGTATAAGGATTGGTTTTCGTTATCTCTTTCCATTCTTGATTCGTGAACATAGGGTACGGACATGGCCAACAGAGTACCATGATTGATGATAGAGCTCTAAATGCAATGAGGAAAAAAGACCTTAATATACCCCTAATAGGATAGTTGTACTAGTCAAGTGTTACATGTTTCAGAATATTTACAAGAGTTCGAAAATATTCTCATATTTTAAACCCTGTTCCGTCGCTTTCCGGAAACATTTTTCTGATACTGCCGAAATCTATCGGTTATATTAATACAACCAACTTCCCACTCAAAAACAGAAGCAAGTTATGAGATACTCGAAATAAAGAAATCAGTATTTAACATTTAACATACTTTAACCGTTGGTTCGCGATTTAGTTCCATCAAAACGTTCACTAGATTAAATTTAATTTCTTCATCGCCCTCAAGCTCTTCAGTTTTCACATCATTAGAATTGGAAATAGTGGATGTTTGTTGTACGTTCGTAGAGGGAAGAAGCTCAGAGGAAGACTTCGTTAAGTTAAATTTTTCATCTAATTTCGTCTAAATCACAGAACACGCCAATGAGTTATCAGTTGCTTAAAGCCATTAATATGCTTTGAAGAATTACTGTACTCGATCTCACCCTTTTCGTTGGTATTGCTGATATTTCTTCTTCAATGCTCGGTCGTCCATGATTTTTATAATCTCGTATCATATTACCAATGCCACCGAACTGTACTCCATCAGATAATTCGCAAGATAAAAATACATTTTTCCGCATTTATATTTTCATTCTTCACAAAACTGCAAGGACTCCACCCACGTAAAGACTCCAACCAAAAGTTGTCGATTGATCCCTTCTTTTTAGATTCAATCTTAACAAAAATAAAGTTTATTATTAGCGTATCAAGGTTATCAAAACTAAAAATTAGCAAGTCACAGACAGGCTATAGCGGAGACGCAGTCCATAACCATGCGAAGACGCAGTTCCATGGGTAGCTACTGAATGTGACTTACTAATCCGCAGTTATATAGCTTATGAAAATAACTGACCCTGAATTGATTTTCGAGACGTATCGCATTCTTCTTTTCCTCTTCCGTACCCTGTTCTTTTATTATTTGCAGTTGTTTGTTGAAACTTCTTGTTACAGTCGCCTTATCCAAA